GGTTGCACCATTTTACACTCCCACCAACAGTGAATAAGGGTTCCAATTTCTCTACAACCTCGCCAGCATTTGTTCCTTGCTATTCTGTTAAATTTTGCTCTTCTGACTGGGGTGAGATGATATCTCATAGTTGTTTTTGTCAGTCCTTGTCTTTTCCTAAGAACTAGCCTCTGCTGACAAAGCAGAAACCCCAGCAGAGGCTCCCTGTGTCGATGTCTGCTCCTCAGCAGGGGGTTTGGTTTGGGTTTATTAGGATACATTAACTATTGGCCCACTTTTTTGCTCTTGGAAGAAGATGGTAAGGTTTGATAATATGACAGTCTCTTACTCATAAGTAGATTCTATCCAAGGCTTTGATCGTCTAGGCACTTGAAGCCCCCTCTTCCTTTTATTTATAGTGAGGCTTAATGGACGGTGAGAACGCCTTGTCTTAAAGTGGAGACTGGCCCCGGTTCCCGCCGAGTTCTCACATCTGTGCCTTTGATGTGTCTCTCCAGCTGCTCATGTGTCCCACCTGGAGAACGTGTCGGAGGAAGAAATGAACAGGCTGCTGGGCATCGTGCTGGACGTGGAATACCTCTTCACCTGCGTGCACAAGGAGGAGGACGCCGACACCAAGCAAGTTTATTTCTACCTTTTCAAGGTGCGATTTCGGAAGGGCCTTTCCCTGTCTCTCATGGTGGAAAAGTGCTCTGACTTCCGGTGCCAGGCTCCCAGCTGGGGATATATTTTTCCTTCAAGGTTTGCTTGTGTATCTTCCAGAAGGACTATGTGAAGTGACCCGCTTTACCCGGGACACTTGGCTTTCCTTGTGAGCCTTGATCCCTTGTACCCAGAGCGGATTTCTGTTTGGGTAGTTGTAGATTTCAGGGAGCTCTGGTGGCCCACCAGCTACTCAGGCGGTCTCCTCCCGTGTGGTTTACTGCCTCTGAACACCAGGTGGAGGGTCCGTCCCAGCTTGACAGCACACAACAACAACAACTGAACATTCCGCTACCCAGGATTTCTGTATTATATTCCTGCCCCTCGCCAGGCAGTCACAGAAACAGCAAAGATTATGGAGGACTGGACAAGACAGAGGCTCTGCCCTCAGGAAGTTTGACTTTCAGTGAAGGAGTGGACTGTCAAAAAGTAAATCATATATTTGCAGGTGGTTGTGACTCTTGTTGTTGTTGTTGTTAAGTGCCGTCGAGTCATAGACGATTCATAGTGACCCTATGAATGAAAGACCTGGACACTTGTATAAATTTTCATCGTTTCTCCAGGTTCATAGAGTTTCTGGAGGCAAGCTGTTTATGGAAGTGGATGCCACTCCCGCTTCCAAGCTTGTTTTAATCAGGGAGCTCCACCAAACACTGTCCACCATGGGTGACCATTAACGCATTTGACACATCAGTGTCACAGTGTTTGGGTCTAGTGGGGAAAACCCCCCAAAAGTAAGGATGTCTTAGTTATCTCATGCCACTGTAACAGAAATATTCAGATGGGTAGATTTCACAGACAGACATTTGTTTTCTCAGCTAGGCGGTTGGATATCCAGAGTCCAGGAGCCAGGCAGCAGGCGGCCCTGTCAGCTCTGGGAGAAGGTCCTTGTCTCTCTGAACTTCTGCTTCCACATGATGTGATCTGGCGTCTCTCTTCCCTCATCTCTGTTTGATCATTTGCTTGTTGAATCTCTTTTCTATCTCAGAAGAGATTGACTCTGTATTCATCCAACATGGATCCTGTCTTGTCAACTTAACATAGGCTATCTGTCCCCAGAAGGGATTACAGCCTCAGGCTTAGAGGTTAGGGTCGACAGCCCAGACCTTGGGGGACATGAATTCATTCCATAACTGAGTGAAATGGAGTGAGTTTGATGGGTGTCTGGGTGGGAGGCTGTGTTAACGAGGAAGGCTGGTTAGAAATGGAGGGCTCTCTGAGGACATTGCAGATGAGCAGAATTTCTTGTAGGGAAGGGAGATGGGAGGCAGCCTGGGACGGGCCAGGGAGACAGCTGTCCAGGCTGAGGACGACCAGGCTGCACGTTGGAGAGCTCATGGGACTGTGGGCACAGCAGGGAGGCCAGCGGGGCAGAGCCCAGTGCGCACAGTGTGGGAGGAGGGCAGGTGGAGCGGTGGCTTCAGCGGGAAGGAAGGGGATGGACGTTCCTGGATTTGTTTTAGGAATCTGCCCCGTGGCACTCGGTACAGTATTACTCCAGCCACCAGTTTTCCCTGCTGCGTCCCCTAACTTCTCCCTGCTGCATCTCCTAACTTCATCAGGGTCTCACTCCAGCTCCGTTTGTGCTCACATGCATCCTTGTCCCGCCAATGCACGTTTCCCAAGGTTCTGGTCACATTCAGGACCCATGGACGTGGGAAGGGGACTGGTTATGGGAACATGCACAGAAGCTCCAGCTGGCCGGAAAATGGGATTCACAAAGGAGGCTGCCAGAAGGAATGACACATACAGATGAAGAAAAAAATAAACAACAAACCAGACTTGTCACCAAGGACATTGTTTAATGAGTGTGTGGTGTAACTCTTAGAAAGATCTTCGGAGCAAAACAGAATTCCACGCACAGCTTAAAGAGAAACAGCTTGCCTGCTGTACTGACCGCTGGACCTCTTCCTATATGGCAGAGGTAGTCATATTTTTTCCATTGTGTCTTGACTCACTGTAAGAATTTGCAACCAGTTTCTCTAGCTTTATTTTGGGGTCCGTGTTTTTTGAGGCCTAGTTTTTCCTTTTTCCATTTTATGAACTTTTGTCTTGTCTTGGCTAACGAGGATTTTGGAGTGGATATGGTGGTACAAGAGTGGGAGAGAGAATATGGTAAAACATTTGATCATAAACAGTAATTCACTTTTAGAAAGTTAATGCTGGAGACAAGACAGAGAGACACGCGGAGTATTAGAGAGAGTGAGACGGCTGATCATTAACAGCTGGCTTCCCCACGGCCAGGTGACAGAGGCGTTGACATGGCCTTTTGAGGCCTGAGTCATCCACACTGAACCCTGGCAAGTTCCTACTATTTGGAGCTTCTTTGGAAAAATATCTTAGCCAGAGAAAGTCCACATCCGCCCGACTGCAGCCCTTATTTATCTTGGAGCGGAGCGCCCAGTGCCCTGCGGGGCGTCAAGTAGCGTCAGGGTTTCCATCCTGACTGTCTGCAGTGGCCGAGGAGGCGACCACAATGCACTGCTCCTCTTTGAGGCGTAGTTAGCATCCCCCCCCCATCCTTAAGTATCAGATACTTAAGTATCAGATTTGCTTGTGGGAGCAAGCGCTAAAATAGTTAACATTACCCCCTCCCTCCCTTCCTCCCTCCTTCCCCGTGAGGACAATTTTTCTTTGGGTAAATAACTCGCAAATCATCTGTTCCTTCGCTTTTGAAAGGCAGCTTCCTGCCTCATATGTCTCAATAGTTGAACACATTTTAGTGGCCTGTGAAAAACAACTTCAGCCTCATGCGTCCAGAATAAACGCAGTGTTTCTTGCCACCGCGATGTTTTCTGTTGCCGTTAGTCGCCATTAGGCCAGTGCTGACTCATGGTGGCCCACGTGGGACAGACCAGAATAGCTCTGTAAGAGTTTTCTTGCCTGTGGTCCTTGAACCACTAACCTTTAGGTTCCTAGCACCCACTACTTCCACCCCTCAGGGAACTGATTCCCTGGGTTTAAACCACAGTCTCCGTCCCTTTAGTAAATGTAATCACAGCTGAGTTGTTGTGCCTCAGTTTCTTCTTGTGTAAATTACCAACAAGAAAAACTTTCTCAAGAGATCTTTGAGTGATAACTGATGACTGCAGAGGTCTTGGAGTGCTTACTGCCATTGAGAGAGAGAGCCGGAGAGAGAGGGAGAGAAAGAGAGAGGGAGAGAGGGAGAGAGAAGACAGGGAGAGAGGAGGGAGACAGGAAGGGAGGGGAGGGAGAGAGGGAGAGGGATAGAGAGGGATGGAGAGAGGGAGAGGGAGATATGCATGAGTGTGTGTGTGTGTGTGTGTG